TGGCTTTTATCTGCTAGCTCCCTCGATTTTATTATTCGATACTAACAGTGCTTGGAGGTTCAATTTTCTGTCTTATGCAATCACAGTCCAAATCCAAACGGAGCTGATCCCTTCAGCGTACTTTCTGGACTCTTGTTTTTGGCAGAACTGGTTTGTATTCTTGCCTGTGTGTGTGACTTTAGGGTCAAGCAAATTCCTCCTCTTTACGCATTTAGGTCTCTGCAGATGCCGTATGTACTTTACAACCCAGATTCCAACTGGGGAGGCGTCTTCGATATGTGTTGCTGCGCAAACGGCCTACACAAGCACTCGGCCTTCAAAGCCCCGCCCCCCAGTTGTAATAGTCGTTCGCCCGGCATAATCAGCAACGGCACACACGATTCTATTTTCGGTCTGAGTGACGGCGACTGGTGCCTTGATGGCCAGTACTATGATATATTCGAAGTTGTTTGGCGAGTGGAATCCTAACTGCAGACGAACCTTGACTTTGCGGTTATCCGCTGGTCTTAGTAAGCATAATTACCAAAATTAGCACTCTCAGCAGGGGCATATTATCTTTAGCAACAGTATCCTAGTCCCAACGTAGTAACATTTGACACAGCTTTTGGTGGACAGAGGTGAGAGGGCGGAAAACAAGGAAAGCCCTGATGTGCTCCGGACCTCAAACATGTAGTTACTTGGAATAACATAAACCCAGACTCACACTCCCTACTGGGATGGGGGGGGGGATATGAGTATACATTCGATAAAGTCCAAGCTAAAGCCAGATACTGTTGTAGGCCTATAGGTAGTCTATAGATGGCAAACTTTACGACATAAAGGCGTGGTAGGACTTGTGTTATTATTTGATAACGCATTATCTAACCCATGACCTAATCACCTTACCTCATACAGATTAGGAGTGCATCCTAGGTGCCGACTAAAAGAGCACACACAAGTCGTATTATAGTATACTATTTACTGGCCTGAGTAAGCATGATAACTAGAATTAGCACTTTAGCTTAGGCACGTACTTCTAGCAGCCGTATCGTAGTCCGAACCAAACCAAGGCAAGCTCTGCTGTGCTTAGGGCTCCGTATATGTACTTACTCGGAATATTTTAAACCCAGATTCACACTCCTTGTTGAGAACAAAAGAGGTG